ATCTTCTTCGTCCTCACCCTGCTCACGCACTACATTGCCGTAACATTTGCAGCGGTGGCTATTAGTGTAGCGCGGAGTTTCCCTGGAGCTAGTCTGGTGGCAAACCTATCTTTTACACTGCAATCCTTTGCGTGTGGATACTTTGTCCAGTCTAACCAGATCCCGGTCTACGTGAGGTGGTTGAAGTGGTGTGCCTACACCTTCTACATCTTTGGCGCTCTATGTGCAAACGAGTTTATCGGACCAAATGGCTCAGAGCTGGGCCAGTTCTACGCCTGTCCATATTCCGATGACCCTCTAGACCCAGCCTGCAAGCAATATACCGGGCGCTATGTTATGGAAAGCCTAGGAATGCCATCCAATTGGATCTGGCGGCCTATCGTGGTGTTAGTCGCGTTTGCCGTTGGTCATTACCTCTTCGCCGGTCTGTTGCTCCAATACAACCGCTTCGCCATAGATATTGCTCAAGCACGAAGAACTGAAGGAGACCCAACTGGTAAGAAATCTAAGCTCGCTATCCGCCCAACAGAGGAGGCGCGCAAGGTGGCAATATCGCTTGACAAGTACGCGTTGGACATTCGAAAGCGACAATACCCCTGGGAAACCGCGAAAACACTGCAGATTCTGAGGCCCATTACAGCTGAGTTTCAGTCGGGAGAGCTGAACATTATCATGGGTCCATCTGGAAGTGGCAAAACATCACTGCTCAACTCCGTAGCCCACAGGCTGCACGGGTCCGTAGGGACACAGTACCGCGTCCATGGCAACATGCTATACAACGGCGCCGTACCCTCAAAAAGCGTGATCCGCTCAGTGACATCGTTCGTAACGCAAGACGACGACGCACTGATGCCCTCACTAACCGTCCGAGAGAGTCTCCGATTCGCCGCAGGTCTACGTCTCCCAACCTGGATGTCACGCGAAGAAAAAAACCGACGCGCAGAAGAAATCCTCTATAAAATGGGTCTGAAGGAATGCGCCGATAATCTCATCGGCAGCGACCTCATCAAAGGCATCAGCGGCGGCGAAAAGCGACGCGTAACAATTGCAATCCAGATCCTCACAGACCCAAAAGTCCTCCTCCTCGACGAACCGACCTCCGGCCTCGACGCCTTCACTGCAATGTCAATAATCGAGCTCCTTCACAGCCTCGCCGCCGAAGGCCGCACTTTAGTTCTTACCCTCCACCAATCCCGCTCAGACCTATTCACCCATTTCTCCCAAGTCCTCCTCCTAGCCCGCGGCGGCTACCCCGTCTACGCAGGCCCCGGGACGCAAATGCTCGCGCACTTCGCCGAGCAGGGCCACGAGTGTCCACGCACAACCAACCCAGCAGACTTCGTCCTGGATCTCATCACGGTCGATCTCCAGCAAGCAGACCGTGAACTCGTCACACGCAAGCGTGTGCAGGGCCTCATTTCCTGCTGGCAAGATAACGCTCTCGAACTAGGGCTAGACAGACAGACATCGCAGATTGCCACGCCTGCGGAACTGGGAAGTCTTAAGCGCCAGATGCTGCCATTCCGCGTGACGTTCCCGCTGGTATTGTACCGCTCGGTTGTCAACTTCTGGCGCCAGCCGCCGCTGGTTATGGCACGGTCAATGCAGATCCCAGGGATAGCCATTATCATGGCGCTTTTCTTTGCGCCGCTGAAGAATGATTATGCAGCTGTACAGTCACGCATGGGGTTTATTCAGGAGTTTGCGGCATTGTACTTTGTTGGTAAGTTTACTCTATTCCCTGCCAACTCTCTTTGCTGGTCGTCGTCCCTTTTGCACATGCATGCTAATCTCCCAAGCAGGTATGCTCCAAAATATCGCAATTTACCCCAGCGAACGCGATGTCTTCTACCGCGAGGAAGCAGACAACTGCTACACAGCCTCAACATTCATCCTTAGCTACACCGCAATCGAAATCCCTTTCGAGATAGTTTCGTCACTAATCTTCGGCGCGTTAGCCGCCTTTGCAGATAACCTGCAACGAACCGCAACGATGTTCCTCATTAGCGCGTTCAACTGTTTCTGCATAATCAGCTGCGGCGAGTCTGTGGGCATAATGTTCTGCACACTGTTCTCGCACGTTGGCTTCGCCGTTAATGTGACTTCCATTCTGCTCTCTATCTCGACCATCCTCGGCGGCGTCATGAGTCTCAATGTCAACGATGTGCTGCAGGCGCTGAACCATCTCTCGCCAATCAAGTACGCCATTGCTAATCTGGCGCCATATTCAATGCATGGTCAGGTGTTTCATTGCTCTGATGCTCAGAGGCTTGCTAACGGGAGTTGTCCTGTTGATTCCGGTGAGCAGGTGCTTAAGCTCTACAATCTGGATAAGAGTGGGCCGATGAATGTCATGGCATTAGGTGTCTGCACGATCATATATCGGCTTGTTGCTTATGCGTTTCTCAAGGTTATGAGATCGAATAGGCTCCTGGAACAGTGGAGGGATTGGCGGGCTCAGAGGAAGGCTAGATAGATATGGTCTCTTTTTTGATGAACTTTGAGATACCCTTTCAAGTGCACTTTTCTTTCTTTTCCAAATTCTACATACGTATGTACGCTACGTTATGTCTTAAATAGTGAAAATCTCGAGAAGACAATCTAAGCTTGAGCACTAAGCCCATCGTACTCACCAGGACATGCACACGCCTCAGATGTACATAGTGAGCCCTGTGTCTCTATGTATAAAGAAACAAACATTGGAAAGTGCGAGAGAAAAGGAAGAGTAAACTAATACTGCAGACCCAACGGTAGGTGGCCTAGTGGTAACATGCACATGTGTACTATGAGGGAAGTGTCGAAGATCTTCCACTATCTGACTGTTCTGGTTTGACCCTGCTCGTTGTCGCTTTGTCTTCTTTTTATTTTTTCCTTCTTCATCCTCTTTTCTATCCTCGAAGTGTTAGAGCCTCATTAGTTGGTGCCTGAGGCATTTCGGCGTCTTTGATAGCTTTCCTCTTTCTTTGCCCTGCCCCTTTTTCACACAATATAATGATAGCTCTGCTTTGTGAGGCGTCCAGAATTCACAAAAATTTGTTGCATCTTATGCCAATTTGCACACAAACCTTTCCATTTCGACAATCGAACGGTTCCATGTGAAGGTCGACACCTCGGCTAGTTCTGACTGTCCTCAGGTATACCAAGGAGATAAACCATGGATATCCTTTGGATCCTATTATACCAACTTTTTAAAAGCCCGTATTCTAGCCCAATGTTGGCAGCAATTGGAAACTTAAATCTAGATTTACTTGATCTTGATGCCCTCAAAATTTTGAGGCCTAGACGCCTTGGCTTCCAATATTACTCCAAAAAGGTGGTGACAGAAACTCTGTCTCACTTACTACTTTGGACATTAAAACACCCAGTTTGAACAGAGGTAACACTGGCTTATTCAAAGCTGGAGGTCTCACACACGGTCACGTGATCAGGTGTAAACCAGTCTACGCTATGTCTGTTGTATATCTATTGTACAACGTAAAAAGAAACATATTATTGACTAATATAGAAGCTTGATGTAGTGTCAAATATGACCTGCCATGTTGATCTCTGGTGAACGTTGAAGCCTGTAACTCACAGTTCTACCCGAGAGCACCCGGTCTGCCCTTTTTAGACCGTAATAGGTAACATTAAATTCATCTTGAAATACTAAATACATAAATACATAATTTTATTCAGTAGAGATAGCAGTTAATCACCACCATTTTAACGATGGTTCTAGACTGCACCAAGAATTAAGGATTGAAACCCGGCGTCTTGGCAAGTGAAAAGGTTACTAAACGGCAAAAGAGGGGAAACCCTTTAAGCATAACCTTGGGACCCCATTGGACGAAATAACCTTAATAATCAGCTTCTTTTTAAAACTGCTGGTTTGCCCCATTAGTTCTTCCCAGATATTTAACCGAACGTTCCATGGTTGATGACGAGTGGTTCAGACCAATGTCGCCTCTCAATAGGAACCTGACATTGTTCGCTAAATGTGAATGGGTAACTCGGCACTTGTGTACCTGCGTACCTGTCTGTGATTGTCGTGTACCTGACTGCTATGAGTCCATACCATGTGTACATTGTGCGTTGTACATGAATCGATAGCCCTATGACGAAAGTAATATGATGAAATCACACACTAAAACCTGAGTAACCGCAAAGCCTGCAGATCAAAGCTCCGCCTTGGTCCTTTCAAGGAAAAACATCCAACAAATTCCAGATCTAGACTTCGAGTCGGAAATCTCTTATCGAAAAAAAAGTCTTGAAGCCACTCAACCCCTCAAGTGGACACTTTAAACGCCATCCGCTCATCCGACTGGCGGAGGATCGACGTTCTGTGCAACGGGCTTGAGGTGTGGAGCCAGATCTACGAATGAAGTCCCTGTCTATCACTTGTTCTAGATCTTGATTGTACTTGTTCTTGGTGTGTTGGGCAGTCTTCGTGGGTTCCACTATTATTCGCTTCGTATGTGATCATCTGTGGATTCAGGGTGTTTTACCGGTTTTGCCTTCGCTCGTGCTCTTGCTCAAGGATATTTTCAGGTTCGGTCCCGAGTCAAATAGCTTGGAGAGTCGATGTGATACTTTTAGGAAAGCGTTTAAGTAAAGATCGTATATTTCGTGTATGTTCAAGATCTGATGATCATGTGTATACTGCAAGTCTTATCTATTTCTTATCTATTTCTCTCCCACACCATAAACTCCCATATGTTCCCATTGAATCCAAGTGTGGGGGGTATTTGCGTAAGAAATCATAGCTCGTGACGAGACATCCTGCCCCAGCGGGAATCAACCTGCTCTAGATGGGGAGAAGACATGTCGAATCAACCGAACATGTTGCATAACAAAAAATCACCAATCTCATCTTAAAGAGCATCACCATCTCGGGTGATGTATGAAAGAAAAATCAAATCTGCCAGCTAGGGCGAGATGCGATGAGTTCGAAAGGTATAAAAAGAAAGGATGCACGGTTCAACCGGCAAAACAACAAGCATCACTGGACAAATTTAACAAATTTAGGACAGACCAAGAGTGAGATCGAGAGCGGTGTCGATCGGGCAACCGTGGGTGGCGTGGTCATCAGTGGGCTTGAGGTAGGCGGCGGAGCAAGAGCTGTCACCAGCCTTGCAAATGGCCTTGGGGCAAGTGGAGGTTTCATCAGTAGGGATGACGGAGAAGCCGAAGTCGGTGAACGGGTTCTTGCCAGCCTCCATGTCAATGCAAGACATGTCCCAGAAGATGGTGTCGCCAGCCTCGGTGTACTCGAATTGGAGGACGTCGTGCTGGTCCTGGTCGAGGGCCAATTTGATAGAGATGCCGCCGCCGTTGGGGTTGGTACGCCAGGTCTCGGAGTAGACGCCGCCACCGCCCTTGATGGTCTGCATGGGGCCGACGTCGCCGGCCACGGACCAGGCGTAAACGTCCTGCGCGAGGTTGTTGGTGACCTTGACACCGCCACCGTCACGGCGGGCAATGGCCGATGGGAGGGCTGAGGCGATGGTGGAGAAGAGGGCAGCAAGGCCGAGAGTCTTGGTGAACATCATCTTGAAAGGTAACGATATAGTTGTAGAGAATGATATAGTTGGAATGTGATTTGATTTGAGTCTGGTTGACAGATGTAAGGAATGCAACGAGAGTCAATCTCGAGATTGAAGAGAATGGATATAAAGAATGTACTTCCAAGTGAATGTGATTTGAAGAACAAAATCTTCGGGTGAACGAGGGGGGTTTATATAGATTTTGAAATGAGTGCATACAGACACTGAGACATACCTCCAGTGACTGAAAGAAAACGTGCAAAGCCACCCCTACTTCGATCCATGGATCGTATCAGGGAATTGTGGGGCAATTGAAAGGCAAAAGGCAAAAAGGCGAAAAATGAAGAAAAAGAAGAAATTCCAGAAAAAAAAGAGTGGAACCGAATCAGGACGTCTCGCCTCCAGGCCTTATTCGAGTTTCTAGAGAGAGAGAGAGCCCGGACCGGTGAGAGATTGGGTAGAATCAGACGATATATCAGATACAACATATGTAAGATAAATACTCTCTATAACTTTATTCTGTTTATCGACTGTATAATCTGCATTGCTACCAGTTAGGGCATCACCGCTACCCGTACGTCGCATGTGCTATATCCTATATACGATGTGTTGCAGACCATAGTCTGGGAGTGTCGATTAGAGACTTATCGCGTGTCTATACAATTTACCGCCATCGAACTTGCCCCACTAATCCCCTTAAAGCTACAACAGACAGCGTGGCAATAGTGCCCACGACCCCTTGAACCCCACGTCACGGCCAGCCGGCTGCATCCGCGGTTCTTCCAAACAGATTAGAGGAATTGGGTTGAAAACCTTTGAACCAGCAAAATTCCATGGCAAAGAACATGGAAGAAGCTCGGCAGCGTGGCTGTACAGCCACTTAGCTCTCACTTTCGCCAGGAACCACTGGGGTTTTGGAGCTCGTTTCTATGGATGTCGTGTTGGCCACCACAACCTTTCTATCCCATCCGTCGGATTACATTCGGGGAAATAATGGCAGAATAGGGAAAAATGAAAATCCAAAATCTAGAATTAAAGTCTAACGAGGTTTGAGGCAAATATCGTCGAAGACAAAGGTGTGCGCTGTACTTCAACATCATAATGATGGCAAGTAGGACATTACCAAGCAGACAACCATATTGTCCAATATACCCGTGGACGTATGCCGAAATAATGCCAATGGAGCCAATAATAATATCTCCTACAGATTATTACTGCAGTTAACAATTCGACCGGCCTGCCCAGGTGGCCCTTCCATGTCTGCTTGATAATCCTATACAAACTTATCCTTACTAGGTAGGTGGGAGCTGACAACTCAGGCCTTCTACACGAAAATACTATGTACAACATGTATTGTAATAGTCCTGAACCCCTGTATTAAAGACCCTGAGCCAATAACATATTTAGTAACACCCCCACCGTCTGGGACGCCTCTGACGTTGGTCTGGACCCTGGACAACTAACCGTACCTGGCGACCGAGTCTGGATTCATTTTGGCAAAAGTCATGTTCTGCATCGTACGTTATTGTACATAGTACTAATTCTCTTGATAATGCTACCCTGAGTGGTTCTAAATTAGGGTTCCGATCCAGATTCGGGATCTTTAGTTTTGAACTAGTAGAGCCCACTAAAACCACCTTAAATAGGCCTTGGACAATAGCTGTGGAATGTATGACCATGGTATTTATCGCCATGCGCACGCTGTGACACAAAGAACTCTCAATAATAAAAGAAACTACCTCTGATATACACAAACGATTTCTCCGATGTCCCATAATTATTCTGCTTTTTTGCTTAACTTCACTCTTCGTTGAGCTCAGGCTAATCCACTGCCCATCGCTGCCTCTGTAAGCCACTGAAGTCAGCGTCGGAGTTATCCGTGGGCCTTCCCAGTCTGGGTGGGGCAAGCTGGGCCCCTGCCCCTATCGACCCCGCCACCAATTAACTCCCCTCCGCTTTCCTTCTTTGCAGCTTACCTGCAGTCTAGATTGCCAGGGGAACCAACCAGCAGGAAACGGTGCCTGTCAAGGGACGGGTTGGACGGAGGATCCCGGGTCAGACATCTACCAATATGGAGCACGCATGGCCGACAAACTAGCCAATGCGCCTTCGCCGCCCTCCTCTTTCTTCCGGTGACCAGCCAACTCCAAGTTAATCTGGCGGTGGATGTGTACCAGCCAGTCCACGTAGCTCTGGGCCTCGTTATTCCGGTCCTCCAGCAGGAGTCGGGCGAACTCGTATTCCGCCCCGTCCATGCCTTGTCGGGCCAGTTGGATCGTTACGGACTTGGACCCGCGCACCGTCGACAAGTACTGCAGTAGATTACGCACCTGTGCGTTCAGGTGCGTCTCGAGCACAGGCAGGGACGAAATGTTGGGGTTCAGACCCTGCAGGGAGTCGTGTCCCGGCCCGAATAGGTCTTCCAGTAAATTGGGTGAGACCAGTGCGTGCATCCAGAGTAGAATTGCCTGGCCGTTGTCCACTATGTAGACACCACCATCTTCGGTACGAGAGAAGCTCGCTCGCAGTGTGGGCGGGATTTGGAGCTGTCCGTGCTCGTTCGCAAATCCATCTTCCGGCTGCATGTTGTGTACGGGGATAATGCGAGGGTAGAGGTACAAGGCCATTTCCGTGCATCCCATTGACCGGATCAGGCGCATGTCATGTATCCGTCGGTCTGATGACTCAGGGCCAGCTTTGAATGCTCTCGACTTGACCAAGCTGAGCATGTACATTGAGAACTCCTTCAGGTTCTCGGGTAGAACTAGCTGTCCGGGCGGGTGCGAGCCAGAGAAGATCTTGCGGTATCCGCTGAAGATATCGACTGTCTTCTCTGAGATACTGGCTCGGATGTCCTTGAGGTTCTTATCCAGGGCTTTTGAGGCGGCTATAATGGGTTCAGTATGCTTAGTCAACGTCTTCTGACAGATGATCCAACTTACCCTCTTTGGCAATAACCGAGACCACGGCATCCTGGTCGACAAATTTCATTGTCTCCAGGCCTCCTTCATTCACGGCCGCCACAACGTTGATACATCGGACACGGCGTTGGCCGTCTGCAGAAGTATAAAGTAGGGCGGCTTGGAAGTGCGCATCCAGCTTGGGATCGAGTTTACCGTCGTAGCTGAAGAGCACGCCGATAGCCTTGTCGGCATCAACACCGGCAATCTCCAAATCAGCGCCGAGCGTGTGCTGGACAAAGTTTCCGTGGTAGGCGGACACTTGGAGTCCATTGGAGCATCGGACTTTCATCAAGGTCTGATATCCCGTTTCACGAGTAACGGCATGAGCGATTTCATTCCGCAGCTTGAGTAGATCGCGCGGGGCATGGAAGTTAGGGTAAAAGAAAGTTTCGCCTCCGGTGAGACTAGAGACGTGTCCTATGAACTAGGTTAGTCGATGCTCCGTATAGGGCGCAATGACACTTTCAACATACCAATTGTTGCCACATCGAGGTATGTGCCACCAGGGGCTGCCATGAACAGATCCACGCCCACGCCAGCTTCAGCCAACTTGCTTGCCGTCTTCTTCCAAGCTGGGTTTTCTGTGGTGAAAAGTTTCCGTTCCGCATCCGTTCCATGAACCTTTGGATCTTCTCTGATCGCCAGGTGTCCCGGACCGCAGGTAGGTAAGCTAGCCAAGGCGCAGACAATCTTGCCACCTGTAGCCTGCAGTGCGGAGAGCGCCGAGTTCAATGTTGGCAGCAAAGCCGACTCGGGGTTTTTGATAGAAGAGAAGATTTTGGGTATGCGGTTGAGAAGAGAAGTGATCACAGACCTAGGCATAGTTAGTGACCCATAGGAGACCAGGAATAGGGGATCTCTTACTTTGATTCATATGGGTCCACGAAGAGACCTTCGCTCAACGGCACAAATGGCTCATCTAAATCGGTCATAACCATCATTTGTGCTTGATCCAATGCCGCCTGTGAATGTGTTAATAGATGAAATTACCGCAGAGTGAAGAATACATACGGCCAGGTTGTAAAAGTGCACCTCCTTATCATACGTAACAATGCCGACCTTCGCTCCAACAGGTAGTTTTCGTGAAGAATCATCGCCTTCAGTGCCCTCTGATGCTTGATCATCATCACCATACAGAGCATCCTTGATACCTGCACAAACACCCTTGAGGAATCCCCGATGAACCGACTCCCGGCTGACGTCGATCAAAAAGAGGGTTTGAAGGCCTACCGGCTCTTTGTTCCAGTATTCCTTCGGGACCGTAAACTCCACAGTTCCCATCAGCAATTCAGGACGCTGCATACGATCCACACGCGCACCGGATGGGTCCAGCGGCGCAAAGTATTCGGGAGGCGTATCGTTCGGGAACGTGCACATATTACAAACAAACTTGCTGCCACCAGATCGGAAGGACATAAATGGGTTGATATATGTTCGGCATCGTCGGCATCGTGGGGGACCAACATCCCCGAAGTCCAGCACGGGGATCGGTTGTTCGCCGGGATCCAGAGGCGCGAGGGGCTGCAGGATCATACCCAATGGCAAGCCGGTCGAGCTAAGGAAGTCAGAGGCGGAGGGAATGTTGTTGAGCGTTAAACGAGCGTATTTAGGAGAGGAGTTGCCTTGGTCGTGAGCCACGAACGGGATCGCCGCTGGTGGGGGGAGGTGTTGGTCCATTGTCGGGTAGACGTGGTTGAAATAGTACTGAGCGGGTAGGTCGCGCGATCGCGGGATGCTGGGAATATGCTCTGGGTCAATTCGACCTGAAGTAGGGACAGATCCTGCACCACTTGGTATGCCAGGTATCTCAGCGACAGACTGCCCAGATACCAACCCCACCGCTGGGGAAACTGGTCGGTCAGCGTGTTGGTTCAAGCCTGTGTTCAGGAACTGCGATTGTTGTTGCTGTTGTTGCTGCAGCTGTTGCAAGCCTCCTTGATCCGTGCCAGTATTGAATCCTTGCGCGGGGGGTGCTACACCACCCCCAATGTCGTGGTGAGCATGACGGTGCTTCTTCCGGTGCGTCCTGGCCCCCGCATCTGCTGCAATGCCTAAGCCACTCATCTGAGAGGCTAGGCCTGCCATACCAGGATCTACCGCTACACCCATTGCTTGCTGTGGTGCATTATATGCGGCGCCAGGACCCGCCAAACCAGGTTGTTGTGGTGAGCCGTAGGCGGGCCACTGATTCGGCGCTGGGTTGGCGTACGGCGCTCCTGGTTGTAGAGGTGCGGCGCCGGTAGGATAGCCAGCTGGATATTGCTGAGAGGGAGCCTGAGCCATGTATTGCGGATTGGAGGGATCTTCGCCGGAGCCCTGGCCCATTGTGTTATACATTGAAGGGTCGGCCATGGTGGATCATGCCGCGGGGTGTGAAAAGGCGAGAGAGGTCACACAAGGGTGGGATTGAGAAATGGAGAGATAAGATACAAAGTCTCAACAAATCATCACGTATGGAACAGAATTAGGGAATAACGAATATAACAAGAGACTCTTATGTTGACGATATACCGGATTGACCACCTAAACTCACTCGGATTTATGTACTTCCGAGGTTCTTCACGTGGGCCCGTCCAAGACTGTTGTACTCGTTGGATGTTCGTTCTTCTTTCTCCTCCTCTTCCTCCAGATGTCTTCCACAAATGTTACTATAGAAGAAAGAATCCTCAAATGACTTTGAAATTGCTAACCCGTCCTTTTTAAATACAATGTAGTATGAGTCGCTATTTGTCACCTCTGCATGACTCCGTGTTGGAGAGAGACTAGTCGGAGACCTCCCACTCATACTCCGTACATGGTTGGCGCATATGTCAACATCCCTCCTCTCCAGGGCTTTGTCCTCGTGTCAGCACCTTAGGCAAAGCAATTCGTCTTTGCAAGGCTTGGCAACATTTTCGATATCCGATTTCACGCTTATCATATTCTCTCCAATCACGTCAGATTTCCAAACCTAGCTCTGGCTCAAGCTCCTTCGGGTCTAGATTCCCTTTCCTGGCCTGTTTATCTCACCGTCTCTTTCCCGGCTTTGAGGGCTCCCCTGTAGCCCGGGTTCCTGAGCCGACTACTATTACTCCGTACACCGTAGATATAATAGACAAGACTGCTGTGAGTCCGGAGATTTTTCTTTTATTCCCCCCTTTATCTTTTCCCCCCTAAAGCTCCTTGCATATTGGTCACATACTCCTTATCATGGGCCTGACCGTAAAACCAGACCCGGATCGGAAGCTTAATAGAGAAAGAGTAGATACAACAGCTCCTCTTCAACCTACAATGGCGACTATTCATGATGATGATGAGCTGTTGCTGGCTCGCATCGGCTATAAGCAGGTACTGGCGCCCAACGCCCCGTGACGATCATAGCGGGGCACAATCTGATAACGATCTACTCGCACTAGGAGTTACGACGAGAGTTCTCCAAATGGTCGACCGTCTCATATGCTATCTCTATTCTGGGAGTCCTCGGCTCCGTGCCGGCGACATTTGGTGCGCCGCTATCGGCTGGCGGCCCAGCAACAGCTGTATGGTGCTGGTTGATCGGTTCATGCATGGCTATGTGCATTGGAAGCTCCGTGGCAGAGTTAGTGTCGGCATATCCCACGGCTGGAGGGATGTACTTTGTCACAAAACACGTCGTACCTCCCGACCAGGTCCCTATTTTCTCCTGGATCCAGGGTTGGTGTAACCTCCTTGGACAGACAGCAGGAGTCTCCAGTGTGGCATACACGGTCAGTCAGATGTTGCTGGCCTGTATCAGTATGAATTCGGATCTTATCGATGGCAAGTATTCGTACGCACCGTAAGTCACGCAACCCCAGTTGCTACGTTTCTAAGCTGATATCATTCAAGGACGGCGCTGGAGACCGTTCTAGTATCAATCGCAATTCTATGCATCCTTGGGGTGATTTGTTCATTGACTACGAAATCCTTGCACCGAATTATTCTTTGGTTTGCTCCCATAAATAGTGTGTATCAGGGAACTTGTTATTGGATTTTTACTAATGCGTTCACAGTTGGTGCGACTATCTGCATCTGCATTGCGCTGATTACCCTTACGCCTAATCTACAGCCAGCGTCCTGGGTCTTTGGCCATTTCACTGATGGCTCAGGATGGGGCTCAAAAGTCTTTTCTTTTTTCCTGGGCTTTTTATCTGTTGCCTGGACAATGACCGACTACGATGGGACGACACAGTATGCGACCCCAAAATCCACTTTTAGTAGTTTACATTCTAACGTTCTAACCTTTCACCCTTATTGTAGTATGTCTGAAGAAACTCACGATGCAGCCGTGCGAGGACCAGTTGCTATCCAAACAGCCGTCCTAGTATCTGGGGCACTTGGATGGCTCCTAACCGTCTCAATGTGCTTCTGTATAACCGATTTTGAGGGAATTCTAACCTCGCCTACCGGCCTTCCCGCAGCCCAGATCTTCCTAAATGCCGGTGGCAAGCGAGGTGGCACGATCATGTGGGCATTTGCCATTTTGGTTCAATTCTTCACAGGTTGTTCAGCCATGCTGGCAGACACAAGGATGGCCTATGCCTTTGCCCGAGACGATGCGCTTCCATTTTCCAAGTAAGATGCCTCTGACTTTGCACCCGATTCAAGTTCCGCACTGATACATTATAGATTCCTTTCCAAGGTCAATTCTCGCACCCATACCCCTGTCAATGCAGTGTGGTTTGTGGTTATCTTCAGCGTAGGTTTGAACTGCATCGCCATTGGCTCCACGCAAACAGCAACCGCAATCTTCAATATCACTGCTCCAGCGCTAGACCTGTCTTACGTGTCTGTCATTCTCGCCCATCAGCTCTACAAATCGAAAGTTAAATTCATCGAGGGCCCCTTTACGCTCGGCAAATGGGGTACTCCTATTAACTACATTGCTGTTGTCTGGGTCTTGTTCATCAGTACAATTCTTTTCTTCCCGCCGCAGCTTCCTGTGACGCCCGCGAATATGTAAGACGCTTGAACCCAGTTTATGTCCAGGTATGCAAAAGCATGCTAACATGTCTCTACCCAGGAATTACGCCATCTGTGTCGGTGGTTTTATTGCGGCTTTTGCTTTGATATGGTGGTGGGTTGCAGCTCGAGGGTAAGAGACACCTAAAATTAATCCATACTTCTAACATCATTCAAGTGAATACTGACATGTCCTACCTCCTTCCTGCAGAAAGTACACTGGTCCTCAAACCAATGATATCATACGAGAAGTTCCCACTGAGGACGATGGCGACGATTCCGAAGGATCAGGCGAGATCGCTGTTTAGATGACGGATTCGTCTCTTACACCACAACGACGACTTGTGGTTTCGTTTCTCAGGCTATGGATTAGATATAGATTATACTCATGCTTGTTAGTTTTAAGCATTTAGAAAGGGGTCATGTTGGTTTCGGGTTAAACTGTGCGTCGATGGTAATGTTGTTTTGCGTAGAAGACTATCTATGGCATTAATTCAGGAAACGATTAGAGAGAACTTGTTTCATTTATAAATCTCTTGTGTTTGGAAGAAAGAAGTGGCTATAATTGCTTTGTTGACCATGAAGTTATACACCAGGAAAAGATAGAAATACATGTCACGTGTATGGCCTTAGCTGCCTGCAACAACAGCCAGGCCCTCGTAGATTTTCTTTTTGACAGCAAGGAAGCTCCCTAATCCACGCCCAGAAGGCCGACCCAGTGAAGACTGCGCCGTTGCTTCAATCTCGATCTTGCCCGTTCCTGATTTGCGCACAGCTACGGACTTGTCAATGAGAAGTGTTCCCTCGCCTCGGAACTCTGCAGTGTGACCAGCAGATTGCATCAGCTTGCGAAGATCAGCTAATCGCAAGTCACCGACATGAAGAGGGCGAGCCATAGACCTGGTTCCTGCGGCCATGCTAGCTGGAAGAGTGTCAAGTAAAGGATAGACCTCCACCTTGTCGACTATTTTGTCTGCTTGTTCCAATTCTGGGGCGACAGCGGAAGAGGCTGCTTCGTCTTTCAGCTGCTTCACCTTCTTGCCTGATGTTTCAACCTCCCCGGCCTCGGCAGGCTCCGGGCCTCGCAACTGTGCCGTGAGAGCAACGACGCCGAGGCTGCGGACATGCTGCCAATTCAAGCGTCGAACGAGCGTGTTGCTCAGCTTGACCATCCAGGCATTTGTATCGACACTTGCATCGATCACTTCGCCGTTCGCCGGAGTGAAGATAATGGCAGCCGAGTCAGACGCAGGGTCAGAAACCGTAGCGCCCAGCTTAGCTGTCAGCAGTTTCTGGCATTCAGCTGCCAACGCTGACGTCTCTTCCTTCATGCCGGCAACCAGGATCAATTTCTGAGGTTGAATCAGTGGAATTAACATCTCCAAGCTGCGCTTGTCGTGCAAGCCCATGAAGTCGATAAACGCAATCCTAGCGTTGATAGTGATGGTCTCGGTATGATAAACAACCTTCGCGGGACCTTCAAATGAGTGGCCTTCTACTTCGTCTTCGGACTCCGCAGCTACATCGGCGTCTTCACCATCGGAGACAAGGCTGAGATCATCATCGTCAATAATTTTGCCATCAATGTGAGGACGTTTCCGTCCAGCTGCGCCGCCAGACAACTTGCGTCCATGCGGGCCGGCGGCATCATCCCATCGTCGTTTTTGGCCCAGCTTAGTCTCGGCATCGGTACGCCGTTGTTGCATATCAATCTCTTCGCGTTCTTCGGCTCGGAGATACTCCTCTGGGCGAATGAATTCTCCATATTCATCTCCCTTCTTTCTCGGTGCTACGTAAGGGAACATACGCTCGCGGCCCTTCTTTCCACGCACGTCGTAATCATAAACGTTCTTTCGACGAAGAAGGATGTTGATGCCAAGGTCTTCATCGCTCACGGCAAGCTTGCTTCGAGTAGCGTGTGCAAGTGAGGCCGAAAAGTTCAGCGCGCGACCCTGGTGTTCAGGATCCGAGTCATCAGAAGAGGTAGAGCTCGATCCGTCATCGAGGGCATCCGCGGCAGTTTCAAGAGTCTCCTGGCCAAGTGTTTGTGAGGTGTCTTGAAGTTGGCGCTTGGTCGCAAGATACTGCTGGTATATTAACTGCTCCCCGGTATCGAGAGGGGCTCGCTGCACATCTGTCCAACACAATTCTCGTCCACCGCTGTGGACTTGCTCGATATGTTCGCCATCCGATCCTTTCTCTAGAGCCACACCATCTCTTCTTTCCTCGTACCACTGCCAAATCATGCTTCCAATTGTGGTCGAACTCTGTGATGGTTTCGATTCTTGAGTCTGCATGTCCTTGCGGAAGGACTCCGTCATCAACAACAGATTGTTGGGTCCTTCGGCCACTTGTCGAAGCGCATCCTTTGAGAAGCCCCAGTCCATTGATGTATCGGATGCAAGAATTACTTTAGGTCCGGGTTCTTCCAGGAGCTTCTCAAGTCGCTTCTTGCGCTCAATGATCTTGAGATGTTTGAAAGTGAATGGGCCCCCACCCTTATTAGAGCTCTTGTCCTGTCCACCCGCCCTTTGCCCGTTTGTGACATCTGCACTTTCCGCCGCTTCAAATTCGCGAACAATGTTCTCGTCCATCCACTCCAGCATGCTTCGGGCGAGTCGGATTGTGTTGGTAACCTTCTTGCCAGCCAGATATAAACCGGCTCCTTGAAGGACATCCTCTTTGTCGCCATTCGCGGCATCGCGCCAAGAATGTTCTAGTGCGTAGGCCAGTTCAAGAACTCGCGCACTTGTGTCTGTAGGGATGAGAACTGTTCCACCTTTTGCAAGGCTACTTCGGATCATGTCGAGCAGGAGATCGTCTCGCTTTTTCCGACCCCCCGAAGGTGCCAACTTATCGCCTCCCGTTGTACTGCAGATCAACGCTGTGGGCTTCCGCAACTGTTCAATGACCTCTGTTCCACTGGCACCAGAGCCACCGAACCACGCAGCACCCGCGACCACGCTCTCACGAGCCTGGTTCCAATCCACTGCATAGACAATAGATTCCAGCCCATGCTGAATATGCCATATCGTCCCACCAACGGTGTGACCGGCATTGTAGGCTGTGAGAGTAAGCCCGTTCAAGGGCGGGGAGAAAGGTGACGGGAGCGGTTGGTGGGGTTGGGAATATTTGAGTGGCTGAATGAGAGAGAAGTATCGAGAAATTTCCTCCGCTGTCGGCGATTGAAGCAGTATTCGGCTTGTGCTGCCAGCGGTTTCGGTATCTCCGCCTGACACAGTCGCAGATCCTGCTGACGATGCGCCCGGCTCTGAAACAGAAGCCTTCGGTAGGAATGTGGCAGCAAGCGGGGCCGAGGCATAAAGGTCTTGTAGGAGCGTACGGCCGAAAGCGATGACGGGATTGGTTGCATAGATTGGGATTTGGGTGAAGAGGGGAAATGTTCGGCAGCAATGGACTAGAGCGCCAATGTGGGCGGGCGTCGCGTGTGTCAAGAGAATGAGAGAAAGTGTAGGAATATGCCTGATGATAATATTAGCTCGTCGAATTTCAAACAAGGAAACGCGTTGATCGCATGCTCACTTCTCAAGTTCCGCTAAATCAAGGGTATTGAACTTATCATCCCAACCGACGTCCACTAGAATCTTGATACCCCCATCAAGCTCCAGGATAGACTGCGATGCCCTCGAAGATGACGACTGGGCACCAAGAAGGGGAGTGAAAGTGAACATCTTGAGAATTCGCCGTTACTCACAGCAGCCGCGATTGTTCGGAACCAGCAATGCGGCGACAGATCGGTCACGATCAATGCAGCTGTATGCTTCGAGTTATTTGGTCAATTCCAAGATTGGTCCATTATCCCAGGGTGTCAAATAGATCCGACTTTCGCGAACGAAGACGTGAGATATGAGACGACGGGTGAGCTGAGCTGCTTCGGTTTGCACGTGACGTCTAGCAATATAAAGGCCGCCTATTGTATAGACCAAGTCCTTCCCCCAACACCTTTGAGGGACTTTCTTTTCACTTACGCTTCACCTAGCTGTGGATCGCCCTTGTCTTCTATATTGGCTTCCGAAATTTATTTGAGGATCGCAACCAATTGCCTTGCGATTATATCACCGGACTTGGACATGCAACTATGCTTCGCTCCAACCCAGTGTTGTAAGAATGTAATAAATGCTCATCAGAAGAATGATGACGGTCAAATGAAAGTAAAAAAGACCCAAAAGATTCAAATAAAAAGGCAGAAATATCCCAAACCCCGAATCTATCTAACTCCGATTACACCACCATCCATTGCCATTCTCCACTACAAAACTATGGACACACAACAGGCTTATCTAAACGATGACCACCGGGCTGAACTGATTGACTGCTCTTTTGCAGATGCTGGTGGTCTTGGCCTTCTCTTACCTTGCCCCTTGCTCCGTTTTTTCGACCTCGAGATTTTTGTGCGTGTCGCAGGCGCAGGTGCTAGCCCAATCTAATCGATTATGATCAGCGTGGTTCTCGAAAAGCTCAATCAATTAAGGCACTCACCGGATCCTGCCATTGACTGAAAGGCCGGTGCCTTTCAGCCCAAGGGGGTAGCATAGCGTCGACTGTGGGTTTGATCCCATGGCCCACCAATTCCTCCCCTGCCCACACTCTGACTCGGCGAACAGCAAGAGGGTCAGGGAAATGTCTCGCCCTCTGAATTGGATCCTTGAGATATGCCTTGGTCTGCTCCAGAAACCTATCTTGCAAATTAGGCGGAATCTCAGGACTAGGTGCGTCCGCCTGTGATCTTGCACCCGCCTGATTCCTTGTAGTCTTCTTCAGCAGTGCCACCGGCGGCCTGTCAGATATTTTCTCCGCTGCAGCTGCTCGCATTTCGTCCCGTTTTCCTTGTCCTGCTCGTGCGAACGACATAGCTTTATCCACCCTAATCTCTGCTGCTGTCTTCCTTCGAGTCGCAGGTGGTGATGGTGTTGATGGTGACTCCATCCGCATTCGTTTACTTGACTCTGTAAACCCTCTTGTCTCGAGTTCTCTTATCTCTACCTCCTCCTGTGCATCTTCCAGTGCCTCCAGCATCTCCCTTTCGGAATTTGATGACGGCTGTGCTTGGCGCTTTTGTTCTGGGGCTTCGTGGTATTCAATTCCGCCTAACCTTTCAACTTGAACCAAAACCAAACATTAGCATGATTAACTGGGATGAAAGATAAACAGATTGACTCACAATTTCTTTGCTTCTTACTATAATACCTCTCAATCTGTCCAGGGCTGAAGAGCCCATAATGGGATACTGTGGACAGGCTATTCGCCGATTGGGCGCTATTATCGTCAGCGGCGTTGACTTTGCTAGTCTCACTGGTCTTGGCAGAAGCGCTGACCTCGATGTCGGAGCGGGACCCAGAGAAAAGGCTACTAGGTGATTGCTCTCGAGAGTCCCGAGCTGAGTTGCGCTCATCCTGAACGTCATCGCCGTCACCAAAGATTGAACCGTCTTCCAAGATTGTATCTAAAGCCAATCAGTTAGCGTCTTGCCTGAATAAGTCCGGTATGCAAAATGTAATGCCACAGTGACTAGACCTCCTCTTCCCCATAACGTGACAACCAGTCAAGAGACTCGCCCTAGACGCCTTGGATCGGACTGCTCCCATGTAGCTCACTGTGTCTCACAGTGTAGTTAGCACACACACGCGGGCGCGCACAATCCAAAGGGTTCATTGGCACGCCCATGATTGAGCCATCTGATCACCTCGGGTGCATACGGGGAAAGGCAAAGGAGCATGCAGAGAATGAGAAGACCACGTCAAACTAAGCACATTCGTACCTACCAATTTGTGCGATTTTCTCATCGTTTCCAAGGGGCGCAGGGGTGGTCGGTTCCGAATAAGTGCCCTCTGGATTTAGTTCCAGGTCAGACTCCCCGGCCACAGACGACCTCCTGGAATCGACTGACTGACTCTCTTCGCTGTCCTTCTCGCTGCCTTTCTCGATGTCCTGCTTGCTGTTCTGCTCATTTCCAAGAGATGTGCTGGCCGTTGGTTCCGAGTAAGTGGCCTCTGGATTTCGTTCCAGGTAAGGTTCCTCTGACATAGAAGAATTCTTGGACTCGCTTGACTGGCTTCCTTCCCCACCCCGCTCGTCGCCCCGTTCGCTTTCTGCGTCCGGACTTGCAGACCGTGGGGCAGTGGGCCATGTCTCCGATGTCGCTTGATTATAGATGTGGGCAGCCATGGAATGCGGATACGGTTTCACCATGTGATTATCACACACTTGGACTGCCATGTTTGGACGCTCGTAGTTGCGGAAGTAAAAGGCCGCATCACTTGACTTTGGACTAGTTTGCTCGGAGGTTCCTCCAAAGTGCCGTGTGATAGGCACTGGCGGCAGAGCTGGGTACCATTTGTCCCCAATGGTCACAGACTTGGGCAAGGGACCCTGGGCAAGGGATTCATAGATCTGCTCCCGAACCTCTGTATCGATGAGCGTATATTCGAGGCACTTGTACGCAAGTTCGTAAAGAGCTGGGTATTCTAGCCCGGTCCATTTGTTGAAGTTGCCTTCTTCAAAGGCCCATTGTAGACCGCCGAAGTCCCTCGTGCCATCAGGCCTCCTGGATGTGGCATTTGAGGCAAGTCGTCTTATACTTTGGGTTTGAGTGACCACCCAACGAGGCTGCGGTGCAGCGCCTCCAATATATATGTGTGGTAGAGGTCTGTTACCTTCGTTCTCCATACCTTCTGGAACAAAGGTTTTCCTGATGTACTCCCATTCCCCGATTATTAAAGCCGGACGCTTTGCTTTGGGCGGGCCCATTTCCACTTGAAGATTGGGAGGAGCCGGAGACTCAATCTTCCGCCTTTTGGCCTGCGGTTTATAGTGTTCTTCTTCGTCTCCGTCATATTGATTTGTTGAAGCCTTCACGGTAGCTGCGCTAATTCTGCTCCTTGTGGCCTTCGCCTTCTTGGTGGTTTTGGTAGTCTTGGTGATTTTGGTGGTTTTGGCAGTTTTGGCGGTTTTTGTCTTCGCAGCAGCTGTGCGCTTCGTGCCCTTTGTGGTGCTTTTGGCATTGGTAGCCTTAGCAGCCTTGGCCGCAGCCTTAGTTGCGTCCTTCTCGGCCTTCGCTGCAGCTTTCTTCGCATCATTTAGAGCCTTCGCTGCTGCCCTCTCGGCCTTCTTTCCCTCCTTCTCAGCCTTTATTTTGGCGGCTTTGGCGGCCTTTTCGGCCTTGGAAGGCTTAGCCGGTAGAGGCTGGACCTTTGACCGAGTGCCTGCAGCCTTTCCTCGTGTTGTAACCATCTTTTCGAGTCGATAGATGGTATTCCGGTCTGATTTGATTCTGTTAGCCAGAGAATGTGTGAAATGATAACACGACGAGCGTACTTATTGTCAGTTTGGTGCTGTGATAATAATGATGATTGATTTGGGAGAAAAGACAAGTGAATAAAGTCTTGCTCGTGGTTCACGATAAATTTGGACTTGTTCGCTCTATATTAATAGAAGACAGAAGGGGGGGCACCTATTCGTGCCAGTAGACAAAGCACGATCAGAGAGAGACGAAGCAAGGTGGAGATACTTATCGACACAAAGAAAATTAAAAATATCTTTTCGAGCCCTCTTCTTTGTTGACCACGCCCAGCTTATTGCAGATACACCGAGGGCCTTGACAAAGAGCGTTTCAGGCCGGTCTTGATAAAAAGTTCCAGTTCTTGCAATCGAAAGTAGTTTAGCTCAAATAAATCAGGTTTGCTAACAGCTGTAATGCAGCAGGTGTATAAGTTTTGTTGGCACTATTCGCGCCGTGGGCATTTGTTCACTTCAAATCGAAAATCCGAGGGACTACAGAAGACCAGCAGTAGCTTTCCAGCACTTAACAGAAAGAAGTCAATAGACAAATTAAGGAATCTACACGGAGACCAGGAGCTCAAAGAAAAGGAACAGAGTATCATCAGACTTCGAACGCATGAAACAATGAAGGACAGGAACCACAAGAAGCGAAGCAGTACTCCGTACCAAAAATCAATATTTAATTTTATTTAATTTGAAAATACGCTTCAAAGAGAATGAGAGCAATTCCCGAATATCAGTCCCAGAAACGAAATACTTCGTTTCCCAGCCCATATGAGTCTGAGCCGTTATTCCCGATTTGTATCTCTAGAAATTCCAGCATTTACTCCATACCAGAGGTCCATATTTTTATATTTCAAAATCCAATAAAGTAGTATCCTAGCAAGTTCGACACGTTTTTCCGGACAAGCTAGGAAATGGGGGACCACGAAGGCGCCGGGTTAGGGCTTGCTTCAAAGTGGAGATATCAGCCATTTCCACCAAGAAGTAAAAGCTGACAGGTGAGAATAAACCTACTTCGTGTCCGGATGTGGCAATGCCCCCCCCCCCAAATTCCTATCACGAAAGAGCCTTTGAAACAAAGCGAGGCGTACTTCCCTGTTGTCTGGGTCTGACACCAGAATTCAGAGCGATACAAAGAGCTTTGAGGATCGATGTATCCTTGTGGCCATGAAGGAAAGGGCCCGTTGTTCGAATCAAGTAATCAGCATGGCTGCTGGAATACACCTGGGTAGACGTGCTACTCTGGTGTCATTGCCCTATGTTGAATGATTCGATGGCTCAATATCAAATGCCACAGAGCAAGAATCAATAAGAGACATGGGGAATGCGTGGTAACTTCTATCAATCAAAATCGGGATTGATCGGATTGACTATGTTGGATTCAAACCGTCTTTGACATGGTCAGGGCTATTATTAGCGGACGCCTGTGGTCTGCACAAGACAAAGGATATCCCAAATCAACATCCAGAAAGATACGAAATCCCCAGCTTACAAGCCTTTCAGTTTGATAGCTTATAACTCTCCGGCATCATGGCACAAAGAGGAAGATCCTGGTGTTGGAAGATGCTGTCTCACGAACCTGCCGAACTGGTTGCTGCTAGGATTCCCATATCTCAGTTGAGACTGTCCCTGTTAATATTCATATTTTGTTAACGGCTTTTGAGTTTCACACTGGCAACATGATCAAAGCAGGAAGAAAATGCCGCAGCACTACCGAAAGGAATTAGGGACATGTACATATGAGAGGCCATGTATTGAAGAGAGCATAAAGGACCGCACAATTAGAGGTTCTCTCATGCACACCGTCTGGGATGCAATACATTAACTTTATGTCCTTCGGGTCATGCAATGTACGAATACGTAGGAGGCCGAGGAGCATGAGCCAGAAGTAAACATTGGTAGAATAGGAAAACGACTAACAGAAAATACTCTCGTCATTCAAATACGCTAGATATATTAGCAACACTAAAGATAGTGGGATGCCTGCCTTGTTTGGTCTTTCATTATGTCACAACATTGCAGACCCATCAATTTTAATCTTCTTCAAGCGAACTTTTGCCCAATGAAGCATATTCACGCCCCTCACTCAGGCAGACTGTCTATTGCCAGTACCTGGGCTCGTCGAAGACGTGGTAGCGGTGTCCACGCACTCCCTGGCCGCGGAACAAGGCAGGGAAGCGGCGGCCAACGGGAACCATCTCTTCTGGAATACGCATCTCATTTTCGGGTTCAGGCTCGCCAATGACGAATTTTCCAACCTAGATCACGAAAGAGTCAGAATCGAAGCATGCGTAGAAGAAATAGAGAAACAACATTACTTACCTGAATCTCCGTATCTGTGATGGTATCACGACTGATTCTGGCGTAGCCAGTGCGGTGCAGCTTCTTGAAGAGAAGGTACTCGCACCATCTATCCCAGTCCGTAGGATCGATATCCTTCATTTGGCTACGCTCGCTCACGTAGGTGTTGTAGTTACCCTCGAGCGGCTTGGTGACGAGGTAACTCAATAGGATCAGAGGACGCGGGGAGTCGCCCATCAGCTTTGACAGATACTCGCTCTGCAAGCGGCGGTCCTCGGGGTCCTCTTCCTGTCCGGAGTGGAACACAACAACATCAATCATCTCGCCGTACATGTCCAGTGTGGCATGGATTGCAGGTGCCAGCTCACCCACAGGCGAGGGGAGGAGGTGGTGCGTGGAGTTCACAATGGGGAACTTAGACAGCAAAGCGGAGCCCCAGGTGTGCTTGTTGGGACCGGGGCCGAAGTCAGTGTAGTAGCCAAGGTCCTCGGCGATGAACTGGGTGACGTCCCTATTGCCCATGATGATACGCTGGTTGTCGGATTCGAGGAAACCAATGACATCCAGCTCAAGCTCACCAATGACGTCGCGCATGCGGCGCTCAGATGACCACATGTTGTTGTCAAGGCCGAAGTGGACAGTCCAGATACCAGCCGTTACAACCTTGTCCTCCTTGTGATAAGGAGTGTAGTCATTGGTCGGGAAGCGGAGATAGGCGACAGACACGGAAAGCAGTTGCAGCACAGCAAGAACGTAGATATAGTACGATCGCTGTTTCCTGCTATTGGGGTTGACAGGCTTGTGGGGCTTGCGGGAGCGAGCCGAGTTCGAGGTCGCCGCAGAGAAGACACCCGCACCAATGGACAGCATCGTGGTGGTCATGAGCCAATCAGTGTGCTCACGAAGCAATGGGCCACCTGGCACGAAGGCATAGGCGACAACCCAAACGTGGAAGAGCAAAAGAGCCACATAAACGATGAAGCCGATGCCGAACGTGCTCGCAGGAGAGTGACGAACGCTTGACACAATCAGAACGGGAGCAACGGCCATGATATAGAACGCAAGAATGAGGGCACCATAGAATCCAGTCCAGTGGTGGTAGCAAGTAAGAAGAGCAGCACCGATGGAACCGACACCGAAGGCAGTCCAGCTTCCAGCGATTCTAGGGTGGAAGATGCCGTACACAAGGCCGGCTCCCATTGCGAAGATCGTCAGGGCACCGTGAGGAGCTGCGAGCGGTCCGCGTACTGGGTATCCGTCCCAGACCCACGAGATCATGGTACTCGAGTCAGTCAAAAGTGACACGATGGCGAACATCAGAGCGCCAAATCCAACACCAGCAAGAATGGACGAGCCCTTCTTACCACCTGCTGGCAAGTAATCACCACCGCTCGTGGTTGAGCCTCTCTGAGACCTCAAAACAGCGAACAGAGCAATGAAGATCCCGACTTTGTTCCAGCCGCCATTCTCGGCGTGCACAATTGGCCAGAGGGGGTTGTTTGTCTTGCATGCGAACTTAGCAACGACGGACATAATCAGTCCGATTCCCCAAGCCATGATACGGGCTTCGAGACGAGGTGTGTTGGCCCTTTCCGAAAAGAAGCTAGCGGTCCATGCTGCACAAGTAGTAGCAAGAGCGAATCCAGTCACAAAGAGTCGGTTGGCAGGATCCTGGAACTTGTATGCGAGAAGACCGACGAGCGAGAGCAGGTGAAGAAGGCGAAGATTCTTCGCCGCTGCATATCGCAGGGATGGGATAACGTAGAGCAACGGAGATGTGCAGGTGACAATGGCAACCTCGTATCCGGAGATACCCATGTGCCAAAGAGGGAAGTCTATCAAGATCAGAAGGGTCCATCCGTACCAGGGAATACATGTCACTTACACCAGACAAGGACAGGCAGAGCAGTCACAATGGTCCAGAAAACAAACTACAGTCCATTGTCAGTAACGCAAGAGACCAATGATCGATTGGTATAATTTACCCCATTGTAGACATCCGAGGCGGCGTCGATGACCTCGGTCCAGAAGAAGCCCTCGCCAAAGGTGTTGCCCACTGGCTTGCCCTTCCTACGTATGTGGTTAATTTCCGGGATGGTTGTAGTTGGTTATGAGATTGTACACACTCTTTCTCCAAGACAGCATCTGCAGTCGTTTCCAATTGCCTAATGAGCACAAACTTAGACAATGTTTTCTTTGTTCAAAGCCAATATAGCCTTTGGCACTATACATTTGATGCGGGCAATGTCATTTTGGAAGCCACGGTACATACCCTCTGCTAACCCCCTTAACATCCCTCACAACCAGTTCGAAGCTCTCAAAGTCAAGAGCTGTGACAGCATCAAAACCGACATCGAACAGGATTAGGGACCATTCAAAGAAGGCATATTTGGTGTAGGCTAAAGGTTTGACTGGTTAGCATGCGGTAACCCCCAGTTGGAATGGCAAGTACTCACCACCAGGAACCTTGTGGACCTTGTGCTGAATGAAGTAGTAGATCAACGGAACCAATGTTCCAAAGAACAAGCTGGCCATGATTTTGCGGTACTTGACGGCACGGCGGTTGATCGGGCTGAGCGCAAGGCAACCCAGGGTCCACGGCAAGGTGGCCACCAAGTACGAGATCATGAAGATGTCATGCCAGTCGT